CCTGCTCAATGGCAGCAAGGCCACATCTACTGCACTGGAGCCTCCCCTCCTTTCTGCTGCAGAGACAGAGCATCCTAAGCAAGCTCCTAGGCCTACTCTTACTGAAGATTCCATCAAGGCCCCTTCACTCAAGCCCGGCATTGCCGATGGTCACACTGATGAGGCTATGGCCCACAGAAGTGATGCCAAAATACCTGGATCAGAGAGAGCACCTGAATTACCCAAGCAAGATCAAGACATCCAGAAACCATCAACATCCAGCACTCCCTGCATGCAAGCACACCCAGCAACAGAGACCCCAGAACAAGCTGACAGTACCAGTGCCACCTCCACAGACACCAAAGCAGAACATGTCATTCAACCTCAGCTGACCTCCAGCTTGCCAAACACCAGCCCTCCCCTCAAAGCTGAACCAACACTACCATCAATAGAAGAAGCAAGACCGCCTGGAGCCAATGCCAGTGGCTGGCACCCCCTCAGGAAGCCCTTAATGGTGCAGCCAGAAGCACCCAGTTTCCCAAAGCCTGAGCCAGAAAAGTTGGGACAGGAGGAAGGGAGCAAGGAGGAGGAGGGGAACAGCTCTCAAGCAATCAATCAAGACTGCAGACTGTTTAAATCAAAGGCCACAAGGATGTGGGATGCTATTTTATACCAGATGACAATCAACAAGGAGAGGAAACAGCAAGCAGAAGAGAAGCTGCGAAAGGAAGAAAGCTTATTTCTTCCCCGTCGCTTACCCATCCTTTTACACAAGCCACGTTTTGATGCCCGAAAACTGAAGGAACTGGCTACCAAACCCATGACAAAGATCAGCACTGCGTTCGAGGTGAGCCGGTTTAGACCCAAAGCAGCTGAGGAACACACCAAGAGCTTTAACAGAATAGCATCGGGATGGTCAGTCAACTGAAGCCAGGCTGCTCCAACAGGCCCACATCTCTGGAGGTTCCTACATGGCACCAAGCAAGAGAGCACCTATGAGTAAGGTTTACTGCCCAGAGCCAAGAGTAAGGAAAAAACAAAATGAAATAAAACTCTTTCAAGCCAGCAGCCTCATGGTGTGGGTTTAAGTATTATTCTTCATGTGTATGTGAACTTAAATGCATAACATACCACATCTACAAGCCATGTGCCAGGAAAACAAACATGCACTTGTTCCAAGAAGAGCCAGCAACAACCACAGTATGCAATAACAGAGGGAAGAGAGGGGAGACACACAGTGAAAAGGACAAATTGCCTGTAGGAAATGCCCCATTTAGAGAAGGATGATGAAATCTGAATTTATTTTGTTGTGTTTATTTAAGACCAAGATAAATTCTAGAAACAGAAGCAGCTGTAGATAAGACAACATGAAGGAATCTGTGTTGCTCCACATCTCCTCTAGGGAGTCTTAGAAACTGCACTCCAAGAGGATACACATCTCTAGCTTCACCACTGAAAGCGCACCCAACACCATTCACCGAGAACAAGGTGGAAACTCATCCTTTCACCATAGGCACAGACAAGGGACTCCATAAGATATCCATCCCGCTCTCACATAGCGGTTCCCCTGCCTAAAAAAGAATGGACATCATTATTTGATGTCCTCCTTGGTCAGTCTACTAAATAGTAGTGAACAGAACAACAATTTCGTTGCAGTAATCAAGTTTTATTATTTATTTTACCATGCTTTTAAAGTACATCTGGGGGTTAGTGTTTTCATAATAACCAACAAGAGCCTCCTCAGCATGTGGGTATCCAACTCTATTTAACAAGGTGCTGTTTTGAGGGGTTCTGCTAACCACATGTAGTGTATTGTTTTCAGGGGGAATGTCATGATACCTACTGGTGCCTGATGTCCTGAGAAAAAAAAAGATATTTAAACAAAATCCCCAACTCTGTCCATCCACAGGAGACAACTGTGCTTTCTGGCATTAGAGTTACTCTTTGCATCTCCATCAGCAGCAGGCTTATCAGCATGAAAGCTGGAGATTAGCTATTTCTGTTTCACAAGGAACTCTGTCATATGCTGGGATGTTCCTACACAGCTAATATAGAATTGCTATGTTTAGTCCAAACAGGAAACTTGATACACAGCTCTTTACATTCTCTTTGTGTGCAGAGGATATGGAACTGACCAAAAATTTCCCCAAGCTCAACTGCGAACAGACTTAGAAACAAAACCAAGAGCCCCTTTTTCTTTTTTGAAGTCTTCCAATTTTGTGATTATGCTATAAGAAGAGCTCAGTTATCAAACTTCACTGAAGTTTTCACTTTGCTGGTCTTATTCTGGTTTGCAACCCCTTTCCTATTCCAAGAAAATGAAAGAGAAGGAAGAATAAACCAAGTATCTAAAGTCTGGACTTCTCCAACATCCCAGTTTTCCAAGAAAAAGCTGAAAAGAGGAAGGCTGGAAATGCACCAGTCATCTTGAGTGTATCCCACGTAAGCCTCTGAAAGATAATTCAGCATGCTGCAGGAGAAGACTATAGAGAGAGCAGCAGCACAAAAATCAAAAGGAGTGCAGCATAAAACATGTAGAATGCCTAATGCAGATAAAGATGACCTTACACATGGTGATAAAATGGCACTTTCCTGTAGCACAGCTAGATGGATGCCTATGCGTAAGAGTCTACATTTATAAGATCACAACACTAGCATGAGGCAGAACAGCCAATATTGATTACCCTTGGGAGACCAAGTGAATCCAGACAGAGAAGATGGTTTCAGAACCAGCTGTGCTTTAATCCACTTTGTCCTGCAGTGAGGACAGCCACCCAGAACAAAACAGTGATTCTCACAAAAAGCTTTTGTTTTGCATCTGCTGGGCTTCCCACCAGGCTGCATCCACAATCCAGCCCTACTGCATAAGCATGGAGATTGGCTAGTGGGGAGAGCAACTCCCACAGTGGGAAGCAGAGCAAGGCATGGGTTAGTCCTTTTGCCCCAGGAATGAAGGGCAGGGCCATACAGCAGGCATGGCAAGTCCTGCAGAGACAGACCCTGGCATGAGAGCATCACAGAAGAGAGGACAGATACCTGGAGACAACAGATTTCCACCAGCAGCTCTGCACTGGGACTCATTGCAGCATGTCCCAGCTCAAGTTGCCATGCTGAGCAAGGGAAGGTGAACACCACTGGGCACAGAGTTTGGTTGTTTTTCAATGTCAAACTGCCTCAGGCAGCTGCTGAGAACCCAAATTGCCACTTACAGAAAATCTGCAGCCTGTTCAGAGGTCCTGCAGCTCATGAAGAGAGGGGAGGAGGAAAAACTGTACCTGTGCTCAAGCAACTAGAAAGCTGATAAGGTGGTGTTGAGTGAGTGACATGGGGTTGAAGCAGAAGGATTTAGGAGCAAGAAGGCAACCACAAAGGAATCTGGCAGGATGAACATAGTTCAGATGGGTGGAGAGGAGCTGGGAAGCAGGGACCTCACAGCACACAAAACAGCCAGCTAAAAACCCAAGAAACAAGCCAAGACCCTCCAGCTACTGCAGTCATTTTGCTGTTCACAGTCAAAAAACCTTCCTTGTGAATGAGCCAATAGGGCAGCAGTGTTCTGCCATGGCTATTTGGAACACTGGGTGGATCCTAAAGGACAGCCCATGACAGTCAATGGCCTTTCAAGAAAGGATGCTAGAAAAAGGGCAAAGCCAAGGTCACTTTCCTTTGAACTGCTTGCAGAAGCTCAGGTAGGACAAACAAAAGCTGCTGACAACCTAGCAAAACCTGTTTGGTATAAAGAACTGAAGCTCAGTAGGATCCCACCTCGCCCATCAAAACAGACTTCAGGAAAAATAAAAGGACTAATCAAAAAAACGACCTTAAAATAGGTTTCTGAAAGCTACAGCCAGAGAATCAAGTTGAGGATAGAAGTCCTGTGGGCTGTTCCTTTACATCTAAAGGACATAGCTTTGGGCAGGCTTTGTTGGTACTGCTGCCCATCTCAAAGTGGCATTCAAGAGACCTTTTCTTCTAAATGGGCACCACAAAAGGGGAAAAGAAACTTAAATAAATCAAACAACAAACAAAATGTGCTGCACTCAGAAGCCAGCTCCTTGAGGGAAGGAAAAAAAAAAAAAAAAAGAACACAGCTCCCAGAAGAATTCAGAAACAAAAGGTGTTTTGTAGTAGACAGAGATATTTATAAGCTTGGCTATGAAATAAAGCTTCTTTTTTACAGCAGGAAAAAAAGAGAATGAGCTTGTTTTCACCCCCAACAACTTCCTCTCCTCTCACTGTGCCAGATGCTGCCCAGTTGGATCCAACTAGTTATCACATCCCTCTACAACATTCCTCCTTATTGTTGCAACCCTCTACTATCATCCACTCAAGATAACACCAGGATATCTATTAACACAAACACAATATGAGCATGAGATCCAAAGACTGTTCAAGAGGGCACAGAGACATCAACCCAGCTCTGCCTTCCCCCTTGCTGCCCATCAGAGGACAGTCCTTTCTGCTCTGTTGGTCTACCCAGCACAGCAATGTTCACACCCTCCCCACTACAACCCTATTATAGACTGGTTCTAAGAGGTTACTGAAATCATTAAAGGTTTTACCCAGTTAATTCAATAAATCTGGGAATTAGACCCCAGAAGCATCTGAATTTCAGAACTACATCAGACCCCATGCTCAGCCAGAATGACCTTCAGCTATCTACTCCTCCTTGCAAGATCAGAGAGCATAAGAAAAGGCAGCAGATAGAGACTGTTCCTTTGAACTAGAAAAGGCAAGCGCATCTTCACCCAATCAGCAGTAGCTAAGGGACTTACTCTGCAGATTAACTCAGGTATCCAGCTTCCCAGCAGTATCAGAAACAGACCAAAACAAACCCCTACTGTGTACCCACTCCCTCCCAGCTCAGAATGTCAGGCACTTGCCCAGAAGCAAGGCTCCAGCTGTTACCACGCAGTACCTTCCGACTCACCCAAAGTGTAGCTGGCAGAAATAGCCCCAATGCCCTGCCAGAACTGCACCAGGAGTTTGTAACAGTGCAAGGTCATACCCCCACCTACCTGGTTAATGAGTTCTCCAGGCATGCTATTTCTCTGCAGCATCATCTATCAACACCTTCTTGTACTGGCCATGGCCTGTTGCAATGAATTTATACTTTTTGCCAGAAGGAGCAGACTGAACACGAGAGAAAGAAAGAGCCAAAGTCAACATTTTTCTCTCTCAAATAGTCAGTCAAGATTAAATAACTGAAGTCAGAGGAGCATGTGATATGTTTGTAATCCCACAGGACTTCAAGACAGCCTACTCTGTACTCCCTTCCTGACCCTTCCACATAAACTCCTTGCACTGACCAACCACTACTTTTCGTAGGCATAAGGTAACACAACAAGCATAGGATGTGTAATAGCAAAGGGAAGATGCAGTGCAAGGCGTCATGACAGAAGACTCATCTAAAACCTAGACCTCCCAAACCAGGGTTAATTTCACCCGTGGAAAAAGCAAGTTTCATTTACCACATACTTGCAGCATACCCAGGAAGAGGGGAAGATACTTTGATCTTCCTCTCCCAGCCTGGAGAGTTTGAACAGCAGCTGCTTGATGCATTTTAAAAGGCATTCCACAGGCATACTGTAGGCACAAAACATCAGATTCATCTGCAAGAGTTGATACTGTCTTAGGTTCAGTTCCACTTTGTTTTGCACTGTTTTTTTACTCTCAAGATCAAAAAGTATAACAAGAACAGAGTAAGTTACATATGCAGTTCAATTTGAGCCTAGAAGGCTGGGGTTTCCAACACATGGGCTGAGAGCAACATGCTACTCAAAAGACCCTTCAGTATTCTTGGTTACGTTTCTTGCCCCCATTTTTACTAGGGCTAAAGTGATAGCTGTTCACTGTTAGGACAAGCTCTTAGGTAAGCAATGGCATTGACAGGTACTGCTTGTATCTATCAATGCAGTTGCATACCTACGGAGCACCACCATCTTCTCAATACTTCCAGCCCAGCCAAGAGCTCTTTTCTTTTCACAGCAGATCAAGTACTTTCATACTCACACAGATGCTAACTCACCTTGATATTGGTCTCGGGTTTGGGATTGCCCTTCTGTTCCCAAAGGCTTCGTTTACTCACAATGTCTCCAGCCACAATATCCTGAGAAAATTATGTTCTTATTACCATTCCCTGCTAACGCTACTGAGCATGCCTTCATTCACGTCCCTTTCAAACCCACGCATTCCTTTTTATTTATAATATCACATCATCCAGGCTATGACAGCTGCAGCTAAAACCCATGACTATGAAAACTTCTTCCTATTCCCAGTATATCTTACATTTTCCTCTCTCTCACTCTCTCTCACAAAAGCCTGGATCAGAGATCCAAGACGTTTATTTTCTTAAGTTCATTAAGTATTTAAGACGTTAACATCAAGCCTTTTTTTATGTGGAAGGAATTTTGCTCACATAAACACAGATTTGCAACTAATGTGTTACAGAATCAACCTCACTCACAATGACCAGAAAGTGCAATTAAGAGAGCAATGCATTATACTCTCCACGTTTTTCAAGTTCACGAAACTTTGTTGCATCTTTAGTACAAGATGCAATTTATTGCTCAACAACTGGACCTCAGTCCTAGCCCCTGCAGAAGACATACACATTCTCCCCACCAGCTGATTTGATTCCTATTTCAAAACAGAGCCTCAACCAGCATCACAGAGGCTTTCCTAGGTGTATTAGTAAGGAACAATTTGGGACCCTACCACAGGCGAAGCAAAGCTCTGAGGTACGAGGCCTTGAAGGAGGAAATTGGATCTCCAATATAGATAACTTTAGAGCTGGTACAAACAACAAGAAGCTAACACAAGTGTAATGCATATTGTGTCCAGAGGCCAGTCCCTCTTCCCCTACACAAACAACACAAGTCCTGTAAGCACCATACCTTACAGGGCAAGGACTTCACAGCAGACTGAGCTGTGACCTCTCCCGTCTCCCAGAGGCTTTTCGTGCTGGCTACCATCATGCTCGTGGTGGGAAGGTCAAGAGCAGGTTGTCGAACAGGTTTTGGAGCCTTTGTGGATGTCTGGAAAATAAATGGAGAAAGATCACCATCAGGGAGCATGTGCTTTCTTTCCCCACACCTGTAATTGGAGGTCCTCAGGATGAGGGGTTGTAAAAGACAACTTGTAGGGTCTTGCTAGCTCCTGTCAGGTGCTCCCACCCTTTAGGCAGGGAACATGCAGACACTGGGATATGACAGCTCACTAAAGAAACCTACTTTATGCTGTGGAAAGAGATAGAGACAGAAGAAAGAGTTACTCTAATTCAAGGTGAGACAGTTCAGTTGTCATCTCCCAGATGGTAAGACTAAGAGGCACAGTGGGAGAGCAACACCCAGCAGAGAGGGCTCCTTGGGGACAGAGAGACAACACAGCAGCCCACCTCAATAGCCTGTGTGTATTGCTCCAGCCTGTCATCAATTTTCGACACAGGGAGGGGAGGCTGACTCTTCTTTATGCTGTTACTGGAAAGCAGAAGAGAGAAGAGTATTAAGGTGATGTCCCAGTGCCTCAAGGAAAGGGAGGACTTTGAGGGCCACAGGCAGCCTGTCACTCCTGCCCTTCCCAAGAGGAAGGCTCTCCAGCATTCTCCACATGAAGGAAGGGACCTGCTTTACCCTGAGGTCAATCCTAGAAATACCTTTTCTTTATTGAGCGATTCAGCGACTCAGTTCTGTCCGTGATCTGAAGTGGGAGAGAAAAGACAAAGACATTACTTTTGTCTGTGGACCTCAGATGTAGGTCACCTCCACTGACCATAATTCAACTATTTCTCTGCTCTAATCCCTCACCCAGATTTTGTTAGAAATGCCTCACTCAGTTCCATGTTTCTACACTGGTCAGAAGATACTGTCATCCCCTTTCCTTCTCCCTTCCCAGGTAGGTGAGCAGAACCCCATATAGTTTCAGGGGCAAAACAACAACGTGCATCTTGACTGACAGCTGAAACAGCAACCAAGACCATTTTATCTACTCCCTTTGCTCAAGGGCTCGGTATCTTTCTCAGACACTTGGTTTCCTAGACAGACACAACAAAGAAAGTGGCAAGTGCAGAAAGACAAGGGGGAAGAACTGCCAGCTATGTCTGCAGAAGAGGAGCCAAGCCTGAAAGCAGCACAGATATGAGCTACATTGACTTATCCACGCCAGAGAAGCACACAGGCAGGGCAAGTCAGCACATCAAGCCACCTGCAAGGCAGCCCTTCAGGTCAAGCCATCAGGAAAGAGTTTTAGATAAGAGGCCCCTGTGCAAGAACTCTTTGGCCAAAGCAGGAAGGCAAACACTTCTTAACCACTGAGGAAAGGAAAGCTGAAACTCTGCTAAACCTCACAGCTCTTTTGTGCTCCCAAAAACAAGAATAGAGTGACAAAAATCACTTTCAAGTCAAAGAGGGGGCTGTTTGTCAACACCAGCTCCTACAAAGCCAAGGAGCAGCAACCAAGTAACAAGAAGCCTTCTCTCCCTGTATAACTGCTGCCTGTGCCATGGGAAAGATCACCTACCAAGCTAGCAGATAGAAAGCAGCACTAGGTGCTCATTTTAAGATGCTTTCAGGGTGCCAGTGCTAAATTTTACCAAAGCAGAAAACAAAACAGTGGCACAGAGAGCATGTGTCCAAGAGCACAAGGCCCTCTAGGCAAGAGCACAACCACCAAACAGTGCAACCCTCACTAACAGAGATGCCCTAAGAAGAGTCACTCTGCAGAGTCACAGTACAGCAGCATGACAGGTATCCATCCTATCAGCCAGCTTTTTCCGCTGGGTAGGCTCTCTGCCTGCTGCCAGCTCTCTTTGCTTGGTGCCATGAGAATTATGCTTGTCTCTGAGCCATGACTTCAGAGACTAGGTTGCTCATTCCTCTGGGATATTGATAAGCAGGCTGGCACCTCATGGGACATAAAAGCATTCAAAAGGGGAATCTGGTAGATCTCTGCCTACATCTCAGCTGTTCAACTAGAAGTCAATAAGATATCAGTAAGAAGAAGCCTTGCGAACCCTGCCAACAGAGAGATGCTGTGCAGGTGCAAATCACCCACAGGGGCTTCCAAAATGTCATACATGAACATCAAGTTACATAGAAGGGCCTAGGAAAGGCTGTAGGTGACAGTAGGTCTCAGCACGACAGTCTAGGTGGGAACAAACTTTCTCTAAGATATTTGGAGACCACCTCCCCATGCCCTGTAGGTCAATTCCTTGCAGTGAGAGTCATGCATTTCTCTGGCCCAAAGCACTTTCTGAAGGTCAGAAGAAGCCACAGTTGCTCACTCAGCCAACCTCAGAATTCACAAGAAGCCTGGGACAAAAATGGGCTGGTACAATGCTTCACCCCTGCCACCACACATCTATTTCAGCCCCCAAGCCACACTGGTCCTCTGAACTCCAAAGAGCTGCCTGCCTCAGGTGTGTACCTGGCCTCCACCAGCCACAGCCGGCAGGGGAGCTCATCACCTACTGCAAATGCTCTCATCTTTCTACTACAAGCAGTGTTTGTGCCAAAACACCTACTTGGTGGTCAATGTGTTTAATTCTGCGTTTTAACTATAGGAGGAGAAAGCCTTCCTAGCTGGGGTGTAAAGATCCTCCTTCCTTTGGAAAGATCACAAGCTCATATTTTTCCTGAACTGCTTTACATTCAGCTGTGTGTACTGGTGAGCTCTGACATCACCATTATAAAACAGAGACTGTATTGCTAAACCTTTCCCAGGGCTAATCCTAGCAGCAGCAGTTAAGCTCAGGAAACTATATGTATTTGGGGGTTGTAATGACAAAACTTTCAGCATATAAAAGGTGTTGGAAGTGTTTCCCACATTTCCCCACCAGTCCTACTCCAGGGATGTGCTGTGACCACCCCACCCCACTTTTCAGACCTAACATTAGCACATGGCCTGCATCCAAACCCACCCCTTCTCCTCGCTTTTTATTTGACTTTAAAAAGGCTTCTCCGTAAAGAGCAAGAATCTGATGGTTGTAGATGATGAAACCATCTTCTTGCAATCTGTAAGCTACTTCTTACAATCTGTTTACTGGTGCAAGAGGAAGTGCTCATACAATCACTCCCTCCAGCCAGGAAATACTGACCAAGAAGCAAATAGCACAGATCTAAATACAAGAAAGCAAAGATACCAACAGGAGATTAGCAGGCTACACAGGTTCCTCACTATTTCCCTCTCTGATTTAATCAACAAGCTTAGGGCTTACAAAGACAAAAAGCCATTCACTACAGAAATCACTTATCTGTATCTATTGTATTTAAAAGGACATACACAGAACTGAGGATTTGTAGTAAACGCAACAGAAGTCATGAGATGCAATTCAAGTGGTGTTAAAAATGGAAGTTTTGCAAGAGCATCAGTGCAGAGAGATGTCATTGGGAAGGACACGATGCTTCAGAGATCAGGAATCCCAGTTTGTTTAAGAAAACTTAAGTCACACTTTCTGATTTTATTCTAAGTAAGATAGGGAAATTCCAGCACTTCAGTTTTGGGGATTTTTTGGGGAAGGGAAATTTAGTTTTCTGATTAAGTTCATGTGTAGTTTTTGACCAAATGCACACACTGAAAGCACAGACATCTTTCTCAGTATTACAATATTCCCTGGAGTCCTCAATGAGCTTTAGATTTTTATGGTGATCGGCAAAGTATACGCAGAGACAGTTACATCTCTAACAGCTCAAGCAAGATGAAAGGAAGTTAACAACCAAGGAAGATGAGGGAAACAGATCAAGTGATTTGTCCCAGCCTGTAGCAGGAGTGGGATAACATGATTCACACCCTATGTTGCTGTAAGCCCTGGATCCTCTTTCCTCATCATTAGGTAGGTGCTATACTGCAATAGTTGCCATGCCTCCAGTGGGGCCCCAGGAACACAAACCTTAGTGGAGCAGACTAAAGTGTGGTCAGAGCACAGCTCCTCCTCTTCCAGGCTAGTGGGGCTTGGGGCCTTCTGGCGTTTTTCTGGTGTCGTTTCTTCTTCCTCATTTCTCCTTCTCTTCTTTTCCTGATTCCAGAAAATAAACAAGCCAGAAAGGGAGCTGGTCAAACTGCTTACTATGCAACAAAAGTGACTTTTGCCCTGTCTCCCAAGCTTCCTGCTTTACACTAAACAAGCACGAGAGCAAAGAAACTTTGAGTTCACATTATCTAATTTTAAAGTACCCAGGAAGCAGCTCATGTATCACGTAGGGCGAGGGAAATCAGAGAAATTTTGCAGGTTCAGGGTTCCAAAATTATATGGAAATAGATCCTTGCATCAATCAGTAAAGATTTCCTACCACTATTCGGGATAGCAAAACGTGAATTTCTTTTTTAGAGGCCACAAGGAGACAGAGCAGCTACCTTTAGAATGAAGGGCTAGAAGGAGCCACACAGTTCAAATGTCAAAAGCATACTAGCCACAGCAAGTCAAAATCCATAAATTCATTTACAACAACAAAAGATACTTGAAGCTCAGCCACCCTAATGGACTTGCACACCACTCAAGCTTTGTGTCTCTCACTAATCAGGAATTACATCTTCCCAGAAGAGCAAAAAAGAAAGCCTCAGCTGGGAGCAATGCAGTATTTAGGGATGCATCAAGACAAAGTGCTCCAAAGGTGCAACAAAGACTGGGGAGAGAAAAATAAGCAGAAAAATTTAGATTTGAGACCTGAAGAGTTACTCACTGCCCACAAAACCATGGGAGAAACAGTAGAACTTTCCTTCTTGGTATTCCAGGGACATAACTAAACCTCCACAAACTCTGGGAGCAAACACACCACCTTTGCAAGAGGGCAGAAGCTACCTGCAGTGACCCCAAGAAGGCACACAGGCAAGAGTGGCACTGGGCCCAAGTTATGCCATGACAGCATGTTGATGTGACTCAACAGCCAATGGTGTCAACAGCAGCGGTGAGCTGAGTTCTTGGAAAACAAACCCCAGCCACAACTCTCCCACCCGTCCTGGGGAGAGGAGAAGGTCAGCTCCTCCTGATCGCACCTCTTGCTCAGCATTCTCCTCTTCCTCTTGCTCCTGGAGCTGTTCTTCCTCCTGGCACAGTCTCTCTTCCTCCCCGATAATTACATTCTCCTCCCGGATCTCCTCCGGGCTTTCCTGATCCAGCTGGATCTGCTCCAGTTTGACTTCAGCTTCCCTTACACCACTGTCCTCCTCTTCATACGACTGTCGTGGAGACCTGGAGGCAGGGGAAAGAGGTCAAAGAAGCAAAACCTGTTTTTATGAATCTACAGACATCATCAGGTGTGTCAGACCTCTAGAAATCTGATTTTATCACTCCCCCAAGCCTACAACTTGCTAGGTGTTTTACACCAGGGTCACAGCCACTTCATGGTCCCATCCAGTTCCAGGCCCCCAGATGTAACAGCAGTCACACCACATTCCCACACTTTGAATGTCCAAGACTCAGCTCAACTAAGAGTTGTGGCAGAACTAAATGTTTCTGCACCTTTCCACCCTCACCACAGACAAGACCCACAGGAAAACAGAGATCAGACCTCCACTCAGACCTCAGGCAGAGATGATACTACCATCATTGCATGGTGTTGGCTCAATTCTCTGCACAACTACAGCCAAAATCCCAGCTGAACCAGCATTCTCAGTGGTCCTGATGCAGAAACACAGACCTGACACTGCTCTCACAGTTCCCAGCATCAATTCAACTTGGAGCACCAAACACAGCCTTTCTCTGCCTAAATCATCTTCCATGTTAACAGAGCCTCTCACTGGAGAGCCAATGGCACATGAACATGATTCCCAAGATTCCCCATATCTCCAGCTGAAAGTAAACTGCAGGGCAAGGCTGCACAGTCACTCAACATAGGGTTTGGGTCTTTTTGCAATGCATAGTACTTCACAAGCAATGCTGTATCTACACCAGATCCCAAGCCTCAGTTTTGCCCACTGGAATAAATTACACCTCTACGCATGCACTCATGTCACAGCCCAGAAAAACAAAGGAGTCCTGAAGCCCACTTTGTATAAGAAGATTCCTCCAGGTCTCCAAGGCTGGAGGCAGAGACCCACGAGCACATTTAAGCTATGAGCTTTGCAAAAGCAGAGCAGTCATGTCTGGTCACAGAGTAACCCCAGATTTCTCACTGGCTCACAGCCGTGCATCAAGGCGCTATTGCCATCTTACTTTCCCCAGCCAGAAAATAGGCTTCTCCTCACACCCATTTCTTAGAAAACCGCCTGGCTGGTGACAGCATGGCAAGAGAGCTGGCTAGCATGCAGCAGCCAAAGCACGAGGCTGACTCACCACTTCTGCCCCACCAGCCAGCACCAAAACATGACTGAAAGTTCAAGCAAGGCTTTCCCACCCACCTCTCTGCTGCTGGGAAGGCAGCTCACAGGACAGCCCCCCTTCACTGACCAAATGGGGATAAAAGACTGATGCATATGCTGGCTCACTTGGCTTCCTACTAATCATCCTCCCACGACAGTGCAGGCACTGACAGCAGACAGACTCCAAGTAACTACCTACTCTCAACCAGGATGCCAGCAATACCTCCAAGCTAAACTGCAAGCTCATATTAAGAACTAAGGCCAGCAGCTATAGTGCAGTCTATAGAATGCCTTTTGCACCACAGCAATCTTTTATGAGAGACAGCTAGTCTGACACAGCTCCCATGCTCTTGCATGCAGCTGATAGCATGGATCTCCCCCCCCACAAAGCAGGGAACCAGAACCAAACAGACTATGTGCCTTAGTACCAGTGCCCTCAGGAGATGCACAAGCTGTTTTAGCTCCATCCAACAGAGAACATTTGTCTCCACCTCATTTGTAGCCATTCACCTGAACGCCCTTCAAACAAAAAAAACCCCAGGGTTTGCTCCATATTCAGTTGGGCAAGAGAGAGAAGAACTGGGAAACCCTGGCAAGCACTGTTTGTCCCAGCCAGACGTAACCTACCTGTGCTCACACCACACAGGCAGGCAAGCAAGCAAGGACAATGCTGCTGAAGGGACTTTATAGGGCACAGCCACCTACTAAGGAAGCAAGCCCAACTTTTGCAAGAAGCCTACTCCCAGCAAGCCCACAGGCTCTAGAGTCCCTTCAGCTACCTCTCCCAACCAGCCTCCAGCCACAAGACTGATGAGCTACAGCCACTGCCTTTAAGGCACCATCCCTCTCTGATGGGCTACACCTGCCATGGATGCCACCTCTCCTGCTCAGCACCTTCCTGTCCCACTACAGAATAAATCACATGATAACTCAAGGAGCAGATCCTGGAGAGGAAAACACAACCCTCCTCAACTAATTTTCTTTTGAAGGCCAAAGAGGGAAAAGCAGCAGCCTTTCTCTCTGGACAAGCTCTTTGAAAGGGGCATGGAAAAAAGGCAGCATGCCAAAAAGCAGATGGGTCTGATTTCTAATTGTTCCCTCAGATGTGATAATCAATGTCATGGTGAGGTGCTTGAGCAATGCGTGTGGGTCAGGGCTGCAAAGTGCAGCTTACAGAGTGCTTTAGCTACAGTGTTTGGAAAGAAGAAAGAAAGAGAGAAGCTCTATTTATTTGTTCAGCAGTAAATATTAATCTTGGGCATTTTTTCAGGCTTGGGAGTAAAGAAGAGGCTGTGTCATCACAGGGGGAAAATTCCCTACAAAATCAAGCTGCCAAGAGAGCTGAATCACAGAGTTCACATGCAGGTACATGGTGTCCAAGGGAAGTGGTTAAAGCAGGAGTTTGGTTCAGCTCAGCAAACGGAGAGTGATGGGAGATGGGGACTAAACAGCTGGCATACAAGCACTTCTCAGGGATCTTCACTGACTGTTCTCCCCTACTGAAAGAGGAGTCAAGCACAAGGTGGGCTGGGGCCATAACACCCACTATGCTGACATGGGCCAGGAAGTAGCAATAACTTAAAGCAGCCTTTTAGGCTGGCCTGGATTATGTTAGAGGCTGTTTCAGCCCCTGCAGCAGCTCAGGTGGCTTAAATCTACTGTTGTCACTCCTCCAAATCCAGGCATCCTGGCAGGCTGCCATTGCCTGGAGTGCAAAGTTCCATCCAAACATCCCTGAAACCTGGGGCTGTCCATGAGCCTGTCCCTCCACATTAGCCCAAATGGCAGGCAGAGAGCATCCATCCCAGCAGTGTGAGGCCCGTCTTGCCCTGATGATGCTCCAGTCTCTGGCCTCATTCTTATGCATGTGAGGCTTGACCTGGGCTTGGTCACCCCTCCTCAGGGATGGTCCTATTGCTGGGCATGTTGGTTTCCCTCCCCTCAGTCTGGCCATGTCCTACCTACCTCTGTTTGCGCTGCTCAAGCTTCTGAGACCAGTCACTGAACCCCTCATCCTCCTCCAGCTCCAAAGTCCCAGATGGCTTAAAGTCATAGCTGAAACACAGCAAGAAGGAAAATTAGGGTGAGAGATGCAAAAATCCCAAACCTGGCCTGAAAGAGCCCCAGCCTGATACCATCCTTCTCTCCCTCCAGTTATTGCATTTTCTTTCCTCTGGCTGCTCCCAAATTGCACTTGAAGCTTTACCCTCGATTACAGAAAAGACACCTTTGCCACATGCTTAGGAGCACCCTTGTACAAAGGGGGTTTCTTACGGCATCACTGCAAAATGGATTGGTAGAAGATGCAGCTCCATGTCTCCAGCAGGAGCACCCCGCTGCCTGCCTGGTCTCTGGGGCTGCACACACGCAAGCACAAGACAAGCAGGACATCAAAACCAGAAAGTCCATGCACCATGGTCATTCTGCACCAGAGCTGGCCTTAGCTTGTTTGGACCAAACTCAGTTGCTGTCTGTCCTACGGTTATACCTAGGCTCATAGAAAAGACATGAGCAGGAGCCAGCCTGAACAGATTGGTAGGTAAGGAAGGCATGAAGATCCAAATATTAGGACACTGACTCAAGTTCTGGGTTGGATCTTCACGTTCCCCTACAGCTCTGAGCCAGTCACACGCACTTGCATGACCCTGCATGGGAGCGGGGCGGGAGACCACATTGCAAGCATCAGCCTGCGGAGGTGGCTTTACAGATGTTTTTCAGATGTAGGGCAGCCACATTGCCCGGGAATGGGAATTAGGAAGTGGGATTCGTAGATTAATTTAAAACTCAGAGGTTCAAAATAAGTAACAAACATGAGTGAGCCTTTTCTTTGCCTTTCTGTGCTCTCAGGAGGTATCAGAAGATACTTAGCCTTCTAAGTGGAGCCTTTCTTAGAGTTTTGAGAGTCTCATATTGGACTGACTGAAGGAGCTAAAGGTTTACAGAAAACACATGTCCTCACTAGGCTCACCAGGGAGGGTAGCAGGGGATGTGCACTGAAAACAGTTGTTCAGCCACAAGTTTGAGCATAGCCCAGCTCCTGCCATAATCCAGCATCCGCTTTGGCTGCCAAAAAGTGATGCCACGTAGGTCTAGGACACTCCATTCCAGGCTGGGTTATTTTCCACTCTGTGTGTAGTAGTAGCTTGTCCAGGATAACACTCAGGAAACTTGACGAGGAGCCAGGATGGGACCACAGACCTGCTGAGCCCCTGGTAGGGCTTCAGGTTGGCTGCAGCACTGGTGATAACCAGGGCAGAATTGTTCCGGTATTTGTGGCGATGGCTACAAATGTGCTCAGGCTATCAGAAAAAATACCAGGGAGCAAGGGACACCAACCAAATGCTATTTGAAAACTGGTCCCTTCCTTGGGCTCTTCTGCAAACACTGCTTCCCCAGGGGCAGCAGCGAGCCAGGAAAGCCCTATCTGCACTGCTTAAGCTGACATCCACCCCTCTGACTCCCAAGGCCACACGTCCTTTCTGCAAACCCACCATTTCGCAGGTTATTTCTCTTTTTTCTTAGTGGGGGAAGGGAGGAGCAGAGCTTTGCTCTGTCCCTTTGGTGCAAGGAAATGTGGAGGGTGGGTTTGCACAAACAGGAGTGACATGGATGGGATGAGTCCCAGTGGGGGAAGAGCG